CAAGTTTTATCGTGGCTTAGAGAATTACAAAGTGCAATTGCTAACCCATATATTATTTTTGAAAATGAACTTGTTGAAGTCCAACAAACACTATGTAATCAAGAATTTACTATTTTAATTCAAAACATAAAACTTGGATTAGAAAAAGCTCAAGAAGGATTTTTAAAATGGATGGGCTGCTGGACCTGCTTACCTTTAACAATATAATTGTTAGGCAGAAATAACGAACCTGATTTTGCACGAAGTATTTGCTATATTTTCTTAAACCATTCATCAAATATTAAACTAACTGAAAAGGAAATTCTATATGTTGAACTATTAAAAAAGGATAAATTAGAAGAAAATATTTTTCATTTGGTTTATTTAATGCATTAAATAATTCTAATTTTTTAGATCAATTTCTTAACTTCTCAATATCTCATTCACATAAGCTCTCTAATTTTCCTCTTCTATATGATTTTGTAAAATATAAAATTTAGTCAATTATAGTTCATCAACAGCAATTAGAAGGAATGTTTAATAAATATGATATCAAAACACACCCAAACATGACTGACAAAGTACAAAAAGCAAGGCTCTTACTCATAAGTCCAAGTAAACTATAAGTAAGTTTTAATTGTGAAGATTTAAAGGCAATCCGGAAAAATCAGCAAAGTAACATGGCTGAAAATACCGAAAAAAAGCTTGGTGAAACAGCTGCTCAAGCTATTTTAAAAGATTTATTAAAAAAAAAATAGATTAAATTTTATTAATGTTAAATAAATGCATTTAAAAAAGTTTTTTAAATTTATACCTATTAATATATCTGAGCATGCCTGATTTTCTATTAAAAAATCCTAACAATTAGATCTGATTATATATGTTGCACTATGATAGTAGATCATTTAGTATCTAACCTCCCAATCAATGGACCAAAAAACATCAGGAAATAAAATTTATTTGGTGGAAAATATTTTAAATTAGTTAAACGTGCTTATCATTAAGATGAATATGCATAATTTGATAAAGCTTATTAATAAAAAATATTGAAATAAATGTGTCGTTTAAGAGTGCTCTCAAGCATCTCTCTTAGTGTAATTAGCTATATATAGAGATCATGCACAAGTACTATGATTAATTGAAGTAAACCTTACACAATTTTGTCGAAAATTTATGTTGCGAAATGCGGATATTAAAATTTAGTCAATTAGCACAACTCTATGACAAAAAAAGATGTCTCTGACCATCTTTTTTTCATCACGACAATGAACTCATTTGATCGAATAATTTATTTTCCACTAATTAAAAATTGAACTCAGACCTATTGATTTAGATGCTTGAGAGCCCCTAAATCAACAAACTTTTTACAATCAATTGAGTTTCAAAGAGACCGCACAAGTAACATTGCAATGAATCATTACATTCATCAACAAATTATTATTTTACTTCTTGTATTAAACGTTTTTATGAACAATAATTGGTAAAGACAGTAACAGAGCAATAGGGACTGCTGAAGTTGATGCTTTGCCAGAATATTTTTGATAATCTGCAACATTTGCTTCTTGTTTAACAATCGTTTTTGTTTTTTTATTTTTCGCTTTTTTATTTTTCTTTTATTTTTTATTTTTTTTTATTTTTGACGAATAATAAAAGAACCACTCAAAATATTGACCGCAATGTTTATTTCAATTGATTCTAATACATCGAAGATGATGCTTGAGAAAATTTCAATTATGTCATAAATTGCATATTCAAATTCTCAATAAAAATTTTATGTAAATATAATTTTGCTTGCGTACTATTGCTATCACTTGCTAATCACATCGAGAATATCGCTTGAGAGCAGCACCCTTAGTAGAAATATTTAAAATTAATTAAGCATGTTTATCATTACGATGAATCATGCGTAAATGAATAAAGTTTATTATGTAATAAACTATTTTGTATTATTAAAAAACATTAAATGAATTTTTTATTTCAATCAACAAACTTTTTACAACAAACCACCTTTTTTTTATACCTGCTTTTGAAAATTTTACATCAATAGAGCATTCAAAGAAATCGCTCAAACAACTTTGCAATAGATCATCATTTTTAACGTCAGCGAATTATTATTTTACTTCTTACATTAAAAATATTTTATGGAAAATAAAAAAATCAGGAAGCTCAATAAACTATAATGAATACTTACCATCTTTTAGCTTTTGTTCAAATAGCAACAAATTCAACTATTCTATCAATAATTTTTCTATCAATAATTTTTTCATTTGATGTGATAACTCAACAGCAACCAAGAACTAAAACTGGTGGATTCTAGATTAATGTTTCTCCACTTTCTGTTGGATGGATGCTTTTGTTTTTTTATTTTTATTTTTTTTTAATGTTTTGACAAAGACATTTGACAAATAATAAAAGAATCAATAGGAGACCATTCAAGTATTGACTGCAATGTTTGTTTTGATTGATTGTAATAAATGAGCACTAGTACAATGACTCACTAATTACATCGAAAATGATGCTTGAGAAGATTACAATTACGCCATAAATTGCATATTCGAATTTTCTTCAACAAAAATTTTATGTATGCTTGAGCACTATTACATCACTTGCTAATCACATTGAAATTGACGCTTGAGAGCAACCTATGTCATAATAAAATTTTAATAGTAATACGAATGATAGTGATGTATGATTGCGCAAATTAGTAGTGTATAATTAATACAATAAAAAATAAAATTAGCAAACAAGTGAGTATGCAAATGTATATAAAATTTATTCAAACGTGATTTTAAAAACTAAATATCGGGTATAATATTTTTTATAAAATTTGTTAGGTTAAGTCCATAATGTTAATTTGGTAGTTTAAAAGCCGATGTTCAATATGGTCGTTAAATAACAAATACCAGTGATCATAACGATGTTTTTTTTTAAAAAAAAAATCATATGGATATCATTAAAAATAACTTATTAAAATGCAAAAGAAATTTGCCTTAAATAATTTCATTAAAAATGCACACAAATTTAAGACTCGCGATTTTTCCTTATACCTCATTTTTACAGCATAAACGGTTTAATCATTTAAATATTGAATTGGTAACGCAAAAGAAATGTTTAAACAGTTTAAGAAAATTTTAGTGCTTGATATGAATGAATATTTAGGGAATTATTTGGCAGATATAGATTTCTAGTTGTGAATTTTTCCATTAATACATTAAAAAAAAAATTATCCATGACCGTATTACTGCGGTCTACAAAATTTTGTAAATTTTGTAAATTTGCAGATCAAAAAAAAAAGGAATCGATTTCTAATTTTTGCAGATCAAAAAAAAGGAATCGATTTCTAATTTTTTAATAATTCCAAAATTGGTGTTGATTTAATCAAATTGCTGAAAGTACGTTTGTACTAGTTTTTAACTGGTAGCTTAGTTTGCACAACCTAGCAGGGCCGTTCCGTCAACTTGAATGAGTTTGATGTCGATCATCTACTTCGCCGATCTTGTACGTTTTTTTCGTCACACTAACGCTAAATTCCTTTTCTCAATTACGCCGCTTCCCTAATCCATCACATTCATTCACAATTCATATTTTTTCATACTACTGTAACAATGTAGTTATCGATAAATAAAGTGCTAGGCGACATCAAATAATCAAATAAGGTAAGAAAATGTTTAAATAAATATATAAAATAATCAATAAAGATACACAGCAAAAAATGAAGATTACAAGTTACGTTGTGCATTGTGTAAAGAAGAGATTTATCACAGAAAGTACTGTATTTCTCGACATTTAAAACTCAGGGTTTCTTAAATTCTAAAGGATAATGGGAATTCCTCGAATCTAAATAATGGCGGGTTTCAAAATTAATGACTGGACCTCTGATTCTGAATAAAATAGATTATTATTTATTTGAAATATGTTATATATAAATTCTATTTTATGATAGCAATAATATCTTCAAAACCAAAAAAATTTATAGAATTTATAAAAATAGAATATCTACAGTATTTCGTTTTCAGACTTTGAAAGTTAGAAACACAAATAGAGTTTTAATCACACACTTATTTTCAAAATAAGTTAATTAACCTTGGTATATTTGTTATTTTAATATTTTTGCTATCACAGTAACTACATAAAAATATTTATGTATGCACTTCATATTTATTGAGAATAAAAAACTCAATTCCTGCAAAACATCATTAAAAACGTTTCGTACTGACAATTCCTTTTCTAGATTAGTAAAAGTCAAAATTTTTATAAACTCATCACTCTAAAACAATTAATCCATAACGCTATTAATTCGATCAAGTCTTTACATGCTCCTTTAAATATTAGGATTTAGTGTGGTATTTCAGGTAGTATTATCGTTAAGTGATCTTATTCTGATTCAACAAACATACAAAAATAACCAAAATATACTTTGTAATATTGTTAAAATAATAAGACCTTCTGCAGAGTAACGTGATATGCTGCAATAGCCGTACTGTATGTAGCTCAAAAAGGAATGTCTGAAGAGAGGAGCTTTGTATAACCACATAGTTTAACTAAAGATTAGAAGAGATAAGTTTGTTTTGGTTGGGGGTTAGTGTAACTATTAAATAGTGGCAATATGCAGGTAGAAATGAAGTTTCATTTCAATATATAAAGTTCATGGATAAGTCCCATACATTTGTAATGATATTATTCCAAGATAGATTTAAATCTATGTAAATAATAAATTCACAAATCGGTTGAATGGGTCAACATGAAAATAAGATTGCACCGATTTTTTTAGAAAAAGGAAATTTTAACAATGCTAATTAATCGTACGTACGTACGTACGTACGTACATGGAACGTGCGATATTCTGGATGTTCGTACAACTTTAAACATGAAATGGAACTTTCTATCGTATTACATAAATGCATCAGTGCCTGTTTTACATTTCTGGATAGCATTGAGAATTAATCCTAATTTATATCGAAAATTTTAATTTAAGATATCATTTAGTTAAACAACCATATAGACAATTTAATATTGTTCATATGCCAATAATGGATTTACAAAAAAGTAGTCATATGATTAAGTAAATGATTTTCTTAATTTGGAATTAGCAAAGTATTTAGAAAAAAAAAGTTTGTTATTCTGTAATGTAATACTAGATGTTTGATAATGCGAAAATATTTAAAAACCTTAATCAATTTACAATATAAGAACAAATCAGTTCTAATTGAACTGTAATCAATACTAAACAGAATTATTTCAAGTTCAAAGATGAATGGTCTTTTCATCATATTCATAATATGCATCCTGACAACTAATTTGGATGCCTCTAATGCCCCAGGTCACCTATATCGAAGGCAAAACAATGATACTGTTAACCCAGCATCGACCGCAGCATCAGGAATTTTATGTCCTACGACGCCAGTTTCTTTTACAACAACTGTAAATTCAAGTGCATCAACGACAGTATCCACTGTTACTGGCTCAACCACTTCGTTTGTTACCATCACAGGTACATATATACGTGTTTTTTTCTTGTTATTTAAATTTTATAAGGACAATATAAAAATTTATTATATTAGGTCAACCAATACCCAGTGTAATTACGACCACGCTTCCTGCCATAGAATTTAATCAACCTTTAAGAGCACGTAATGAAACAATACCATATCAAGCTTATAAAGTTGCATCAGATTTTAAAAGTATCACTTCTAAACGAGGATTTTCTAATTGTGGTGGTATTGTTGATATCGATGATTTCCGTATACTTTATTCTGCGTCAAAAAAAACTTTTATTCCTTTTTTTAGAGGTCGATCTCCAGTTGTTGTAAATAATGGTAAGATATATATATTTGAAATTACTGTTAATACGTATTATCATGTAATTAATTAATACTTTATATACATAATTAATTAATACTTTATATACATAAATTCATCCGTTATTACTAAGCAACGGCTCGTGTTTACGTTCAAATATATGGAACGTCAGTTGCATTAGAATTTAATCGTATTCCCTGCTTTGGAGCAAAGAACGCAAGTCCTTGTACTTCAGATAATGTAATTGAATCTGGCGACACATTTGATGAATCTATAGCAAAAAAAGTTGGGGGATTTCTAATTAAATGTAAGTGATTCTTCATTCTTTTTTTTTATATATGACTGTTATGACAATTTTCCCTAATAAGTATTCAATATTATAGATGGATATTTTTCTTTAATTGAATCCCTTGGTGGTTATGCAATTTTGACAGTTCAAACTGGTGATAATGATCCGTACCTTGCCTGCGCAATGGCAAAGGTTGCTGACGATGATACTATGGCTGATTCTCTTGTTTCTCCAAGTGCTGAAACCGCTTATACCGCTACTTCAGCGGCAGTGGGTGTAGTATGTTTGGCCCTTGCTGCTGGTGGAGTCGTCACTGTTGCCACAGTAGGGACTGATGCACCTCCTGATAATGCTTATGATGGGTGTAATGAGACATTTGAGCAGGTAGAGAACGGAAACATTGGTATGAACCCGGGAGGTGGTGATGGTGGTGGTGTCAATGGTGTCAATACATTTCAAGGAGGAGGAGGTGATGGTGGTGGTGTTAATGGTGTCAATACATATCAAGGAGGAGGTGATGGTGGTGGTGTTAATGGTGTCAATACATATCAAGGAGGAGGTGATGGTGGTGGTGTCAATGGTGTCAATACATTTCAAGAAGGAGGAGTTGATGGTGGTGGTGTCAATGGTGTCAATACAATTAAAGGAGAACAATTCAATATACCTCAAGAAGATGTACCGGGCATAGGTGATCATCCGGCAACCGAAACTCCATCACACATACAATACCCATCGTTTTATGACTTTATATTTTATACCCAATCGATCATTGCTACTGGATGGCTCACGTTAAATTTAACTTCTGAATATCGGAAATTCACATCAACGTTCTCATGGGCAATTGCACAGGGATTTATAAATCTTAATATACTCGTTTCTGCCGCAAATAATTTACGTTACAACATTTGTGGTACAATTCTCAGTACGAACACGCATGCAACATCAGCTCCAGGAACTTGTGTGGACAGTGAAAATGGATACACATTACCACCAGTAGGGTCAAATTCTAGTCTTACATTTAGTACTAATACTAGTCCTCCTACAAGTATGGCACAAACTGTCAAAAATCCGTATGGATTTGATTCATACGCTCATATAATTGGTATTCCTGTGGAAGACCTTCCTTTTGTGTCAATAATTGGATTCTTAGTTGTTACGGGTATTGCAATCACTATGGTTCTTTTAAGCGCTATTATAGCTAGCATAGTGATAAAATGTCGACAAAATGCACCTGAATTTTGGATAACAATGAGAGATAATGTGCATTTATTCTTACTTGGTATGTTAAAAAAAATTTAATTGCAAAAATGTTAAGCGTAAAGATGTAAAGTGTAAAAATGTAAAGATGTTAAATACCTAATATTTATATCACTAATTTTTTCCTTTTACTTTATATAAAAGGTGGCGTCTTACGTGTGGTAAATAACATTTATTATAAATATCGTCAGCTTTAAATTATGGATTATGTTTATGGACTAATTTATTAATTTTTTTTTCATTTCAAAATTACTAATTAATAAAGGCAATTAACTTGGCTTTTCCACTTGTAGCACTTACAATATACCAGTTGTCATTCATTCATGATTGTTGGATGCTCCTTCTCCTTGCCTCAATTATTTTAGTCTATATTATCTTTATGCACTTATTCAGTACTATACAAATCCATAAACAAATAAAATTAGGCAATTTGAATCAATTAAAGAACGATAATAAATTTAAATTCGTTTTCTCCTCACTATACAACCAATATAAACCTAGCGAGTATATATTTCATAGGTACACAATCATGCACACAATCTTACGTGCATGCGTAATTGGTGCGGTACAAATTAGTGGAGAAGTACAACTTGGATGTCTTTTTTTAATAGAATTTTTCTACTTTATTCTACTCACTAATCATGATCCATATGCAAATAGAATATTTGGAAATTATTTACATATAGCACTTTCAATTGCTAGAATGCTTGTTATCCTCCTTTTAGTTCCATTTGTACAAAATCTTAGTAATTTTATTCAACCAGATACACTAAAAATCTTTTCATTCATATTAATTATTTTTCAGGCTGTTATTTTAGGCTCATTAGCAATAATGATCATTGCAAAATTAGTTAGAATGTTATTTAATTCGTGGAGAAGGAGGAAGTGGTGTGTAAGAACTGAAACAATTTACACTGAATAATAATTTTCATTAGGTTACTATTTAAAATTTATATGAAATATGGATTTTATCTATTTTCAACTGTATAATATCTAAAATATTTTCTTTGTAATTTTATTGTACTATCATATGATAAAAATTTTTTAAAAAATAAACTTATGATTTGTATATCTTCTAAAAAAAGATCCATAAAAAATTCTGACCCTTGAATATCAGATCTCCGATGGGCGACACTCGCGAGTGTGTGAGCTCGGTCGACGTTGCCAAAGATCTATCGATACACACCATTTGTTTTATACAGAAGATTATTTATTTTAGTTATACTAAACTTAAAAGAGGTAGTCCGGGTTAAATTATACAATTTCAAAGTGCAAAGTTTGTACTTGAACTGAAGAGTTAGGCCAGACCAATTTAATTCGCTGTTTTACAATACCCCATCTACCTCCTGGGAAGTTATTGTGTTATATATATGGATTTTTTTCTATGAGAGGAGGAGAAATTCTGGAATACAATTGGTCTGGCCTTATTTAGCAAAAACATTAGCAACAAAGAAATGATGGTTTTGTGCATTTATTTATAATTTAATCACTACGCTAATTAAGCATAAAGTATAAAATATGGAAAAGTTTGCTTTGTCTCACAATGAGAAAATTCCAGAAAGTTTATCCTTGTTTATTGGTGGCTTAGTAAAATTGTAGTATTTATTGTTAAATTTACCTTTTTAATTTACTTTTTTTAAAGAACTAATGAAGCTTTATAAATTTGAATTGATGCTTAACAAAAATAACAATAGAAATAAAATCAAACATTTTTTCTTGTTACATTTTTCTTCCACAAAGAAATTAGTATGCACGTTTACTTTGTTTAAAAATGCGCATTTTTCCCATCAATGATTTATATAATACACTTCTATACATATAATTCTATTTCATTTAATCAACATTTT